GGCCCTGGTCCGCGCGCGCCCGGCTCCTGCGCTCGCTTTGCCGGCTGGAAGATGCCGGGTGCTGCTGGGTTTTTCCTTGTGGAAAAGAAGCGCCCGTTGCTGGACACTCCACCCGGCTCTTGGGCTGCTCAGATGCTTTTCCTCATCCTCCTAGGCAAACCTATATATATATGTGTGTGTGTGTATATGCATTTAAAAACCCTTTCCTCCATGGCTGCCAAGGCTGTGGCCGCGTGGAAGAGCCTGGTGGGCCCGGCATGGTGGTGGAGCTAGAGGAAGAGGTGGGAGCACGAGGGGTTCCCACCTCTGGGAATTTGCCATCCGGCTGCCTTATTTCCAAACCCACCCAGCAGAAGTGATGGCTCCGCAGGGATTCGGCCCCTTTGCTCGTGGAGATCCCTTGGGAAGCGCGTTGGGTGGCTCTACGTGCCGTGGTCCCCCCGGCACCTCCCGCTTGGAACCCGGAGTTCCCGGCGGGACGACGGCCCCCCGGGATTCCCTTGGGAAGCGCGTCCAGGCGCCTAATGGCGCTAATGAGCAAGCCCGGGAGAGGGGAGCCGGCCCCCCGCAAGGGGAGCAACCGGCCGCCCGCATTGTTCCCAGCGGAAACCTGATCCTTCCCGCAAACAAAGCGGGAAAAGGGGGGTCCGGGGCGGATGGGAAGGGGGGGCCCTTCCCTTTCTGCCCCTCGCGGCCCCTTCCCCCAGGGCGGCCGCTCGCGCGGGCCGCCGGGATGCGAGTTCCCGGCGCCGGTGCCATCTCCTAGACGACCGGCGCGGGGGGGCTTTTGTCTCCATAGTGATAAATGTGCGGGAATCCGGCGCGGGGACAAAAGGATCCCTCGTCCTCGACCCCGGCTCCCCCTCCCCGTCCCTCGGGAAGAGGGTTTTATTGGGCCGAAATGGCGTTTTCCTGGGAGCTCGGCCCCCAGCTCCGAGCGTAGCCCACGCCGGCTCCTTCCCTGCCGGAGCCGCTCGCTCCATGCTCCGCTTCCCGGGTCCCTTCTGGAGCGGGAAGGCTCCAGCCCTGCACCTGCACCCACGCTGGACTGTGCTTTGGGGCGCCCAAACAGCGCTTGGTACCCAGTTACAAATATATATATAGGCGTTTTCCTGGGAGCTCGGCCCCCAGCTCCGAGCGTAGCCCACGCCGGCTCCTTCCCTGCCGGAGCCGCTCGCTCCATGCTCCGCTTCCCGGGTCCCTTCTGGAGCGGGAAGGCTCCAGCCCTGCACCTGCACCCACGCTGGACTGTGCTTTGGGGCGCCCAAACAGCGCTTGGTACCCAGTTACAAATATATATATACATTTATATGTGTATATATATATACACACACACACCCCATAGGGATTTGCATATGCAAAATCCCCCCTGCTTCCCTCCTGCTCCGTTGCGGACATGGAAGATCTGCTGATCCTGGAGCTGTGAGCTCCAGGCCAGAGACTTGTCCCAGCAGAGCCCCAGGTCTCCCAAATGAAACCCTGCCGGAGCTGAGTTATTCCCATGGATATATTATTTTTCGAGTTGGCCCCCACCTCAGGCCCTCCCTTGCCCTATAAAGTAACAATTGGGTTATTAATTAAGGCATAAATCACCTGGAATGGGGCAGGGAAAAAGGGAGCAAGGAGGAATCCAGTGTCCAGCTGCAAAGGGAGAAAGTCTCCAGGGGTGACCTGGCGCCTGCACCGTGGCTCCAGGCTCCCATCCCGGCGTCACTCCGGGCTCTCATCCCGCGTTGCTCTGTGTTCCCGTCCCGCGTTGCTCCACGCTCTCATCCCGGTGTCGCTCCGCATTCCCATTCCGCATCGCTCCAGGCTCTCATCCCGGCATTGCTCTGCATTCCCGTCCCGCGTTGCTCCGTGCTCTCACCCCAGCATCGCTCTGCGTTCCCATCCCGCATCGCTCCAGGCTCCCATCCCGCATCACTCTGCGTTCCTCTCCCTCATTGCTCTGGGCTCTTGTCCCACATCGCTCCCGGCTCTCATCCCAGCATCGCTCTAGGTTGTCGTCCCTCATTGCTCCGGGCTCCCATCCTGCGTCGCTCCGCGTTCCTGTCCCGTGTCGCTCCAGGCTCCCATCCCAGCATCACTCCGCGCTCCCATCCCGCATCGCTCTGGGCTCCCAAGCGTCGCTCCGTGTTCTCATCCCATGTCACTCCAGGCTCTCATCCCTCATTGCTTCGGGCTCCCATCCCACTTCGCTCCACGTTCTTGTCCCGCGTTGCTCTGAGCTCCCATCCCACGTCGCTCCAGGTTCTCATCCCTCATTGCTCCAGGCTCCCATCCCATGTCGCTTCACGTTTCCATCCTGCATCACTCTGGGCTCCCATCCCGCGTCGCTCCGTGTTCCTGTCCCGTGTCGCTCCGGGCTCCCATCCCGCTTCACTCCAGGTTCTCATCCCGCGTTGCTCTGGGCTCCCATCCCGCGTCGCTCCGCGTTCCCGTCCCGCGTCGCTCTGAGCTCCCATCCCACGTCGCTCCAGGTTCTCATCCCTCATTGCTCCGGGCTCTCATCCCGGCGTCGCTCTGTGTTCCCGTCCCTCATTGCTCCGGGCTCCCATCCCGCGTCGCTCCAAATTCCCATCCCGCGTCACTCCGGTGTCCGGCGCTGCTGCCGACCGTGCCGGCTCCTCCGCAGGCGGCGGACCGTTTTCTCCGGAGACGAGCCCCTCGCCGCCGGGCAAGATAGAGAGCGCTACAAGGGCCGGCGCTCCGACAACATGGACAATGAGTCGCAGTACTCGGGATACTCCTACAAGTCCGGCCATTCCCGCAGCTCCCGCAAGCACAGGTGAGCGGCCGGGGCGGCCGGCGGGG